TGCTGCAACTCAGGGGAGCTGTGATGGCTTGGAGCTGGTTGATGGTAACAGAATAAGAAAAAGTACTTAGATTTGGAATATACCTGCACCCCAGGGGGTTTTGATTGCTTAGAAGTGGTGGGTGAAGAGGAAACAAAAGTAAATTGCTTCTAGTTTTTGGATCTGTGCAACTCAGTGAATTGAATTTGCAACTCACTAAAATGGAGAACACTGGAGGGAAGAATGTGTTTAGGAGAGGTGTTTGGAGGAATCTAAAGCTTTATTTCAGCCCGTAAGTTTGTCCAATGATCTTTCAAGTAAAGCTGCTGGAGATGTGATTGGTTACACGATTTGGGTAATCAGAGATAAAAATTGGGAGATAGTTAAGGAATAGATAAAATTCAAAGCCTTGAGACTTATCAGGGACACTAGGGAAAAATTACACTCTGATTTGTAAAACTAAGAAAAAGAAACCTGTTATGAACTTTTTGTTTTTCTGTAATGCTTTCATTTTGTTCTTACACAAAAGTGAAGCTTATAAGGAACAATTACTTGAGCATTATACATAGTGGGTAGTATTTTGTGGACATCTCCTTTTTTTAGATATGAGAAACAAGATCATAAGTGAGATCAGCAGTAACTACAATTTGGATCATCATTCCAAAAATACGACAACTCGTGTGAATCCCAGGCAAAGCTTGTGCTATAATTGAAGTTTAAGTTGTAAAATATGTTTTGACTACAGAAATCTATCACTAATTTTTCCAAGATAATTACCTATAAAGATGCAAAAGCAGAGAAAGGTAGAGGCAAAGGAAATGATCTGGGAATTTATAGATACTATGGGCAGATTATGGTTACATGTAGATTGGGAAATTGGACATTTGGTTTACATTTACCTAGATCTCCGAGGTCAGAGTCATATGCATTTTGTGTGAAAGATAATACATGTGGGTGTGGGTATATGCATGCAGATCACTATTTGTACGTCTAGAAAATAGACTTTAATTGAACAGAAAAATCAATTGAGTTTACAAAGAGATTTACATCACTGTTTGTTCAGATGAATCAGAGGTACAGTTCCAAACCAGAGATTCATTTAGAGGAATTGAGTAAACCCACAATTTATCCTAAGCACTCAGCTGATGAATGCACATAATCCCAGGGAACTGTTCTTAAATAACTTTTTAAGGTTGACTTTTCCAGTCATGGAAGACAAAAATGACTGAAGGTTGAGAAAGCTGACTTGGTTAAAGGTTTACATAAATATAAAGATTAATGATAAAAAGGAGTTTTAAATAATTGAATAAAGTAGAGATGTGGCTGAAGGAAATGTTACAAATGGAAACATGGAAAAGCATGTTATAAATTTAAAATGATTAGTATTTCAATTAAATGTGTTCAATACGTACTGAACACTTAAGGATTATAAGCCTCGGAAGAAGAGGATCTACAAATGATGAGTGAGAGTCTTTTCCATCCAGAGGTTTACAGTTGTAGGGGAGGAGAAATAATTTCCCCTCTATCATTCTAGGTTCTTGGCTGAGACCCTCCCTGTAATAAAAAAAGACAGATGAACAGGAGAAAAACAAATGGAAAGTTTAATAACATGTATTCCTCCTGTATACATGGGAGAGACCCAGAAAAACTGAGTAGCTCTCCAAAATGGCCCATCACCACTTTAAATACCATCTCCAGCAAAAGCAAAAGAAAATATTGCGGGGTGGGGGAAAGCTAGTTATGGTAAGTCACCAGGAAAAGCACAGTAAACACGGGCATGGTTATGCAAATTTAAGCCCTGGCCTTCTCCACAAGAGTTTCTAGAGAGCTAGTCATCCTTCTGTTCCTGGTACAGAGAGGTTGACACCTTCACAAATGAAGATTTTCTTATTCTTCTGTGTTTGCTGTTTCTTAAAAAAGCCAGTTCAAGATAATCAATATTTCAAAGAGGCATATTTGGGGGTGGCAAATTCTGTTCCCCTTCATAGTTTACCACAAATGAATGAGCATTTAGCAGAAATGGGGAATAGTAGAAGTAGATGAGACAACTTTTCAGGATTCAAACTTAGAAGTAGGTTTCCTTTGCTTAGGCCATAAAATACAATCTTTTTAAAAATTAGAGATAACGTCAGGAAATGAGAGACAGGGAAGACGGAGGGCAGATTCCAGATGGTAGAAACACCACAAGTTGTTTTAGGAATTAAGGTAAAAATAAAAAGGTTGGAGAGCCCAGGAATTCGTTAATGGGGAGAGGAAGGCTCCAGTGTTACAGGGAGAAACCTGGGACTGAGGAACCACTGCTCATCCAATAATTGCTGAGCTTTCCCGTCTCCAAATTAAAAGAGGTCACAGACCATTCTTTCCAATTGTCAGTACTTAAGGTGTCTCTTTTTTATTATTTAATCAACAATCTCTTGATTGTTTTAAGTCATTACTTAATAAATGTCTTAATTAAGTCACAGTAGAAGCTCAGAAACCTATTTACGGTAGAGAGGTTGCAATCTACAGATACCCAGATAAATCTACTTAGATAGGTACACAGATAAAACCTAGAATTAGCCACTCCATGGTGACCTCAGACTGGAAAGCCAACAAATGAATATAATCAAAGCGTAATGTTCAAACTCTATTAGTTAGTTTAAGAGTTAAATAACTGTTAGAAGGATTTTAGGCATAAAGCCTTTAGGAAAAACAGTTCACCCATCTTCATAGAAAGGTCCTAAAATCCTGCATTAAAGGCATCATTTGGGTGCTTCCTAGAATACTTTTTAAAGGCAAATATCCACACATAATCTATCTTCTTAAATAATTTGTTTAATTATTTTTTCTATACCTCGGAGGCGTTGGGGCTAAAAAAAAAAAGGAATAATAGATTTTTTTAAAATACCAGTTAGAACACAGATAAGGTTTATATACATATCATAATTTTACCACAAAAAGTTACACGTCTTTTCCCCCCCAAGGAAAAATAACGCATACTATCCATTTGATTTTGAATCATTTGAAATTTTCTCCCATTTTTTTTCAGATTTATCATATATTTAAAACAATGCTTAAGACAGCTAACATCTAAGTGATATACTTAAAACAAAATTAATTTTCTTATTCATTCTTCAACTATTTTCTAATTAATTAGGAATAAATGTTGTCAAGATTCTAGCTATGTAACTTTATTAACAATTGTCATCCCAATAAACTTTATAAAAAAAATTTGTCAACGTTTCCTTGAGCTTCATGTATTAAAGAAATAATAACTTGAGAAAAATAGAAATCACACTTCCTTTTTACTGTTCGGCCTCTGTCACACATTTAAAAAGATTATTCTTTGTATTTGAATTCAAAAACAGATAAAGCAGCTAATTTAAATACCATGCAAAGAATATATAATTTGTTTAAAAGTGGCTTTAAAAGGATTCTGTCATAAAGAAGCTCTGACAGAAGAAACTAAGTATAACTCTCATCAGTTAAGTGAAAATAAAGCCTTTTAAACTTCTATTGCGCCACCTCGTGGCAGGAAAGCACAAATTTAGACATATATTGCACATTTTTTGTCAATTAATTACCTTTTATATAACATTTTCCTCAAGTGAGTGATGTTTAATATTGTATTGTATGTAAGTTTGTAAAACAAACTAAAAGTAATGAAAACATCCACTACTGTAAAATTCCTGAACATTAAATTATATGAATGACTGCTAATTTAATTATTTATTAAACATTTCAAGTCAATTCATTTCCTTAAGTTTAGGGCAAAACAGAGTCATTAATCTCATACACATATATCATATAATATAAATCAACTCTATAGAACTCAATCTTTTCTTGATTTATACTACATGATTGATATATGCAAAAGTGAACAAGTCTCAGGCACCTTTATCTTCACATATTCACATTCCTGAGAGCATACTTTTTCCAGATGACTCCATGTATCCTAAATAATTAACGCAAGAAGAAAGCTTCACTCCAAAAGACATTATAAGCTATTTTCTTCTGAGAACTTAGAGAGGGAAGGAGTATCATTGTAACTTCTGAAATACTTAAAGATACTGTCTTATAAATGTCACTTTGGTGAATGGTGGTTATTTAAGATTGTCTCATTTCTGGCAGTACAACCTCAGTTTTATGACTGTAACAGGGAAAGAAATTCAGTGCAATGGTGAAAAACAGTGAGAAAGATATAACAGTGAATAGGATATAAAATCAAGAATGACAGAAAAAGAGTAAAGAATTAGAAAACCGCAATTGGTGACACAATAATACATTTTCCACCTGCTGCTACATAAATCATTTATAATCAGACTTTATAAACATGAAATTCTTTTTCTAAGTCATTTAATCAAAAGTCAGCATACATATTTCAGTCATTATCCCAGTTACTTAAATTAAAAACTTCTCAAGTTGTTAAGAAATAATGTCTTATTCCTTAGAGCTGCTAGTACTTTTTAATTGTTTTTTTTCCTTTACCTAAGTTATTTTGCTTAACCCCAATATTATAACCAATTCTCTGCTTATCTTTCACTTTCTTCCTTCTTTTAGCACATATTATCAAAGACTTTATTAGTTCTGCCACTATAAATTATTTGCTCAAAAGTGTGAGTTATCAGAAAGGAACCCTAACTCTTTAAGAATTCCCAAATCTAAAGAATCACTGATTTTGTGCATTCATTCTGGATATGTTGCTTATATCAGAAATAACAGATCTCATGCTTAGCAAAATCAAAATGACAACTTCTTGGAGTCAAGGAATGAGAGGAAATAGAGAGAATGGTACTGCAAGTTCTTTTCCAGTGATGCTCTCTATGGAATTGCTTTTGAATGATTCTTTCGTGAGTCAGAAATCTGGAGTAGCAGTGGCAATTAGGGAAGATGTTACTTTCAGTCCAGGTTCAGGAGTGGGAGAGGAGAGAGGGGGGCAAAGGAAAAGGGAGGAGGAAGTGGGGAGAAGAGGGGAGGGATGGGGATGAGGGAGGGAACATCCTGAAAAGATAATCCCTGTATTATTATATTGTGACATCATCCTCCTGCACATACATATATATATATATATAAACACACGCATATATATATAGGGGATGGCCAGAGCATCTCTCATAGTTCAGTTACTTGCAACGTCAGCTGAAGGCAAGAGGAAGCACTAGAGAGAGCCCCCCGTTCAGCGAGTCTCTGATGTTTATGGACTTGACTCACTAGAAATCTCCAGGAGATGATGGCAGGAATGAAAATCCAGCTGGTGTGCATGATGCTCCTGGCTTTCAGCTCCTGGAGTCTGTGCTCAGGTAAGCGCAGCAGCTTTTCACAACTCCCTCAGGTGATTTATTTTTCCTTGTTTTGCAGTGTGTTGCTACTTACATTAATGTATCCAAGGAGAAGTGTTTCTTCCTTATTCTGGATTTGCTTTTTAGTGATAGAAGCTGAATATTTCTTTCTCTGTCTTTGAGGTTACAAGAACTGAAAGATTTGTTTTCTGTTTTATAAATATGCAAGGCAACCAAAGGGACTTCAATGAAATGCTTTATGCCCTCCTATAGAACGTGACTTCCAGAGGGGAAAAAAATAACAAAAACCCCCATAAAACTTCAACTAGACTGGCCACTATCTAAGTGAAGGACAGAGGCGGTATCTGTCAAAATGCAAACCCATAATTAAAACCCATTGCATTCAAAATGCTGTACCTCATCCTCAGTCATTCTGTTAGATGGCAGTGGCTTTTTCCTCCTCCAAATTATTTTGCTTAACTGTGTGTGTGTTAAGATAGCAATGCAAAAATTGATGATTAATGAATAAATGAATGAAGCATTATTTGTAGAAAATTATTTCTATAAAAATACAAAAATATCCTGTCTTTCTTGAGACTATATTTTATATAGTCTTTCTATGTGACAAATGCACATCTCATTAATTTAATTATTTTATTTGTTGCATGTCATTTAAATTGATACAAAAGGCATTTGGAAAATTGGCACTCTGATATTAATGAAAATTATCTGTAGACTGTTTTCCATGTGATGATTAAGGAGAAACTATTTATTGCTAAATATCTAGCCATATTTCATGTTGAAAATAAGATTTAAATTTGGAAGAGGAACATGAGATATAATGACGGCAATATACTTCAATTGACGTTTAAAAATAATTAAATGTTCACATCAAAGTTAAAAAGGAAACAGAATAAATGCAGGAAAAATAATTTAACCTGTTTTATACTTTTTTATCTTATAAATATGACATTGAAATGTTTAATTCAAACTCCTGCTACAATTTAAATTATAAAATTAAATCTATCAGATATGTTATGTATCAAAACTTTAAATTTCTTTTGATATTTAAAAAAATACCGGAACTTCCAACTTTGCAAACTTTGTTATGAAGTAAATATCAAATTTTCTTGAGTCATTCTAACTTCTGCTTTGTTTTATGACATATAGATCAGTGAGTTTGAATTAAATCATCTTATTACAATGCTCTATAACTGTATTTTTACTGTCTTGTAATATTTTCTATATTTTTTCTTCTCTGTGGAATATTCATTAATGGAAACTGGTAAGGATATTCCAAAAAAAAATCAAAAATTCATTTTCAATGCTATTATACATGTATTGCTAGGCATCTCCACTTCTGCTTATATGATTTTCTCAATGGACTGTGATAAAATTGCTAAATACACATACTTCTAAATTCTTGTTTAAAGTAGAAAAACAAATCCTTCAAAGTGTATTTTATAAAATAGCAGCTCAACTTAAATAAACCTGAATGTCTTATTCCAAGATTATCAGTAAGCAATTCTGTTTTTGTGTTGTTTTCTTAAAGTCTCTAGTACACACCTTTTCATTATGCTGTGTTTTTAAATATCACTATGCATATATTCTATATATGTGAACTATTGTTGGTGAAAATTAACCAGCATATTTGATGACATTTCTATTATATGATCTAATCTTTTCTTTTTTTTTAATTCTGAGATTTAGAGAATAAACAACTGTAAATCGTCAATAGCCCTCTTGGCATATAATCATGTGTTTATTTTCTTAGATGTGCTTCTTATTCTAGCTGCCTATTAGCCTAAATTAAAACTATATATTTTTTTCTCAATGCTATTTCAAGTTGAATAAATACAGACAAAAGACAATAAGCTTCTAAAACTAAATTTTTCTGAGATTAATCTAAAATCTCCAGGTTACAATATAATTATATGATATGTGATTATATAGTAAACATATGGTTTTTATTTTACTCAGATTCAGAAGAGGAAATGAAAGCGTTGGAAGCAGATTTATTGACCAATATGCGTACATCAAAGGTAACTTTTTCTTCTCTTTAACCAAGGATTGAAAAACATATGAACTCTCATAAACATGGGGTCTTTTTCCTATAGTAATAACTTTCCGTCAAGACTGAAAAGTTCACTGGGAGGCATATTCTTTCTCGAGAAACTTTTCCTTGAGTTCAAAGGAGTTAAGTGTGCTGATGTGACAGGAGAAAAAATTATAGTGCCTATCAATCAGTATATTGTAACTTTAATTAAATAGTCACATATTATTTATGTGGACATGTACATATATTTAAAGGAATCCCTTTTCCATTCTTATCAAATTGTGTATGATGAAAGGTATATTGGCCTCATGTTAAATCCATAAATGAAAATTAAGTGACACTTTTGCCTTTTTTATTACATTGGAGAGAGCAAAATGGAGTTCCTAAATTAAAAATGAAAGTTCATGACAATCCATAAAGCAATGTGGCAGAGTGTAAAGGGCAATAGACTGGTAAACAGAAGCTTGGAGATCTAATCCAGCAACTGTGATGTAAGAATGATTTGCTCTTAAGCAAATGGGTAGTTAACACTGCTTGCCTTCATTTCTTTATTATTTTTTAAAAGATTTTTATCAAAAATATAACTATCATACAATATTATATTAGTTTCTAGTGTATACTATAGTTACTCAGCATTTATATACCTAAAGAAATGATCACCATGCTAAATCCAGCAACCATCTGACACCATACTATGCTGTACCTTACATCCTCATAACTTATATGTTTTATACCTGGAAATTTAGACCTCTTATTTCCCCCTTTTTAAATTTTTTCATTGCAGTTGACATTCAATATTGTTTTATATTAATTTCAAGGTGTACAACATAATAATTGGACATTTATATAATTTAAAAATTGATCCCCTGAGTAATCTAGTACCAACCTGGCACTATACATAATTATTAACCATATCATTGACTAAATTCCTTGTGCTTTACTTTATATCCCCATGACTATTTTGTAATAACCAATTTGTACTTCTTGATCCCTTCCTTTTTCCCACCCACCCCCTCAACCCCCTCCCATCTGGCAACCATCAAAATATCCCTGTATCTATGAGTTTGTTTCTGTTTTGCTTGTTTATTTTGTAATTTAGATTCCACATACAAGTGAAATTATATTGCATCTGTGTTTCTCTGTCTGACATTCTTCACTCAGCACAATAACCTCCAGGTGCATCCATGCTGCCGCAGATGACAAGAACACATTCCTTTCCCTGCCCGAGCAATATTCCACTGTATATATGTACCACCTCCTCCCTATCCATTCATCCATTGATGGACAAATGCTGGGGTTGGGTTCATGATCTCTAAGATACATTTACACTAAATCCATGCCTGGATTTAAATCATTCCTATAACAGGAATATTATCTGTGCCTGCTCATTGTTTTTATTGAAGCAAGTAAAACTTTGTATACTGGACCCTATTATTCCCCTCTTAGCAGTCTTGAAAGCAAGGTTCCTAGATCCCAACCTGTACCAGGAAAAAAATTTCAATTAGGATATACCTGATTACCATGCTCTCACACTATATTGATTTACCCAGAGTGAGTCAATCAATGTGTATCTAAATGTAGAGTTGGAGAACAGGGTTCTCAACTAAAAGGTGTTTCTCAAAGAAAAACAAATCTTGAAGCGAGACAGTCACCTGGTGAAATCAGTTATAACACTGAGAGACCAAGGCTGGAGACTCAACACATGTTAAGGTAAGAAAGGAAGTGCTCAAAACTCCTGCTAATTTCTGAAGCAAAGCACCCACTCAGTCTTGACACTTTAGGTTTCTCTTCCTTAATTGGATGAGTGTGTTTTTGCTACAACCATCCTTACCCTATAGGTAGAATTTTGTTGGCTAGAGTTTGGGATAGTTTTATTAAGAAAGAGAACCTGACACAGTATGTTTGGTTAACTCTCTAAAAATCTGCTGCAATATTTTAATTTTCTATGATCAAACCAATGCCTTGTATACAGTAGGAGTTTAATAAATATTTATGAACTAATAATGGAAAGCTAGGATTCATTACTAACCCTGACCATTTTTATTCAACTATAAAAACTTTAGGGTTCCTCCCCAGATGACTTTATTTTCAGTTTAGTGAAATATTTGAATTTATCACATGCTGAGCTCATCTGAGTTCAGTATATTACAGGTAGTGATTATTAGTCATATTGATTAGGTCCATTTAATGAAGGCAATAGAAATTTGACTGGGATCTTATTCAGTATTAGAGAGTTAATCAAATAATGATAAGTGGGAACCACTTATCTTCTTGTTCTTCTCATCTTAAAAGCAAGAGGAGACAATATTCTTTCTTATCTATAAGCTTAGGTCTATTATAAACATTTGTATACAATAATTTAATAAGAATGTTTATTGTTAAAGAAAATAATTCATAAGATGTGTTAAAGAGAGTAAGGAAGACTACTGCACTGGGGATTTTGCAGAGATTGGACTCAACTCCGAATACCACAAAGGCAAGTGTGGATTTACAGCCAAGGAGGAGGGTGGTGTCAGTGGATGGAAAGTTGCTAAGAGGGAACAATAAGGCTAGGAGGATTTTTTCCTAGAGAACTCAACAGCATTTTGATATTGAGCGTGGAAATTTGATCCAGTAGCAAATATTTCTAAGTGATCAGATACCAAGGGTGAGGCATTTTCATTAATTCTAGCAGGATTTTTGCTAAAACATGACTAAACAGAACAAGGACAGAATCCAAGGTCTGGACCTAGTCAAGAAGAAGGCACTGGGTAGCTTGACTCAGGTTTGGTCAAGTGGAGAGTCTTTGTCATTTTCCTGAGTGAAATATAATAATTGAAACCTCATACAAAACATTTTCAAATACGTGTCTACTCAGACATCGTTTGGTCAAGAGTGTTTTCTCTGTGCTTCCTAGGTATGACAGGTTAGTTAACGTGACGTTAAACAGTTGAGTGATGTGATGTGTATTTTAACTGGCAGAAGGGAACAAGATGATAAAGTTTTCTCATCCAAAAATAATCAGACAACACTAGGCTTGACAGATACTTGATGAATAAAGACTTCTGTGCTCCAATTAGTTTGGGAAATGTTGGATACTGTATTGGCACCATTGAAAAGTTACAATGAATATGTATAAGTAAAAAGCCTTTAAGTTTTCTTTAAATTCAAGTTTTCCAATTTACTTGACAATAGAACTACTTTTTAAGAAAAATAGTGAGAGCAGAACTAGGGTTCTAAGGAAAACACTTTAGAAAATACTCAGATGATCTCTAAAGAGCTTTTTGAATGTAATATTATAGTACCCCATTAATTAGAGGGACATAAGGTGTTACTGCCACACAATATTTCCTCTAAGTTTTCATAGCAGAAAAATTCAAATAATGGCTGGATAGTCATATGCAAGGGGCATAGTTGAAAGGGTTTCCAAACTGTTGAAAACATTATAGTGATCCCCTTTGCACGCACAGATTTGCCTGTACTTAGGATAGTATCTTAATCAAAGGATATGTACATTGACAATTTTAATACAAATTGCCAAAACATCCTTCAAAAAATCATGTCCATCTGCACCCAGACCAACAAACATTCAGGGAAAGAAGTGTTCGTGTCCAGGTGTCCCCATAAGTAAGTACACAAGAGTGTACTTGCACTCTTTAAAGTCTTCAGGTCTAATGGCAGCCAAGCTGAACAACATTCCACATGTTTCTTTTATATATTTCTTATTTGATAAGAGGTTCTGTGACCTGTCTGTTCATACTTATCCAAGTTTTAAAATGTCTAGTTTATTGTTTTGTTTTTGTTGTTGTTTTTAATTTGGGTATTCACAGTTTTCTTTTTGAAGTGTTCCACCAGTGTTAAGGATATTAACATTTAGTGGCCGCTTTTACCGTGTAGGTTGCTTTTGATTTTAGTTCACGCTGTTCTTTTTCCGGAGAGATAACTTACACATTTATGATTTAAAATTATAATTTTGCTTAAGGATTCTAGTTTGGACATTTGCTCAGTGATATTTTTTAGGGTTGATAAAATAAATTCTGTATATTTACACACTTTTATTCTTATTCATATTAACTCATTTGACTATTATTAGACTATAATATGTTAATAAAAGTTATAACTAGATCTAAATCCAGATTTACGTCCCAGGGATTTCAAATGTGAGCTCTGCTATATGTCACATACTCATTACTCATATGTACTTGAATTTATTTTTAAATACTATGTTATCTTCTGTTGAGATTTATGTTTATTCTTGCTCTATTAATTCATTTCTTTGCTTAGTGAAGCATTAAAGTACATTTTACCATCTAGTAGAGTAAGTTCCTTTCTATCAACTTCTTGTTTATTCTCACACATTCATGCTTCCAAATTAACATAATTATTTTGCCAAGTCCCCTCCTCTAACTTTCAAACTCCCCATATTTTGCAAATCGGAACTTTGATTTTCAATTGCATTACATTTGGAGAATAATTCAGAGAGAAATGACACCTGATACTATTGTTATTGAGTCTTCCCATCATGGCTTTGTGGTCCTTCAAAAAATTTTTTATTGCCTTTAGGAAAAATTTATGCATTCTTTCATTGATGCCCTTTGACATTTTTGTTAATTTTTACTAATTATTACACATTTAGTTTCTCCTAAGACCTTATATTTTCTCATTGATTATTGTTGGCACATAGGAAAGAGGCAGATTATGGTAATAATGGTTTCAGACATGATCTTATTAGAAAAGAATGGTAATTCTAGAAAACATTATAATTTGCAAATAAATTGGTGAACTGTGATTCTGCTTATGACACCCCTTAATGTGTGAAATAGATTAGTGGTCTCTCACTACTGTAATTGTCCAAATTTATTAGTATCATCTTAGTCCCTGCTCCATTAAACACTAAACTGAAGTGCAATAAAGAGAGAATGGAATTTTTAATATTTTTATCTGTGATGTGTATATATATTTATATATTTCTACTTATTGTCATTTATATTTTCCTCTGTCTTTGCTCATGTGTGTGTGAGTATAACTTTATTGCATTTTTTAAAATAGATAATATGAAGTATTGGCACTATTCAACTTTGTGATATGGGTTTACTAAATTAAAGCCAGTATATTTATTAGGCTAGTAACAATTAGACTCTAAAATGTAATGCCTTAGCACAATATAGATTTATTTCTTATTCATATAAGTTTTAAATGCAATGTTTTTTAAAATATTTTAGACCAGTAAGGCAAGTGTTCCCGCTTGGAAAATGACATTGCTAAGTGTGTGCAGTCTTATAAATAACCTGAACAGCCCAGATGAGGAAGCAGGAGAGTTTCGTGAAGAAGAGCTTATTACAAGAAGGAAATTTCCTGCTGCCTTGGATGGCTTTAGCTTGGAAGCAATGCTGACAATATACCAGATCCGAACTATCTGTCGCAGCAGGGCGTTTCAACACTGGGAGGTAAAACAAAAACAGAATATGAATATAATTATGGTTAGCTCTCATTTGTACTGATTTTTTTATCCTGATCGTTGTCGTAAAAGGAAGACTTATAAATATTAAAGAAGAATAAACCATGTTGAGGTTAACATTTCTTCAGATCTTCAAAGTGGTTTCAAATATTTGGAATTCAGCAAAATATTTCTTTCTTTAATCTTAAAAGAGGGATATATCTTAAGGCAGATTCGATCCACATGCTTTTATTGTAGTTAAATGGATGGCATGCTTAGGCAAGTTTTGGTGGTGGTGGTGGTGATGCCATGCCTAAGAAAATTAGGGAACACAAAATGCTTTCTTAGAAAGGCTAAGTCATGTGTTTTTATATATAAACAAATACAAAACACTAAAGGTTCTATTTGTATTTGAATATATTAGGCAGAAAGGTCGGATGGATATATATAAAATGTATCCCACCTTTCTGCCTAATATATTCAAATGCATATATTAATCCATATAATTTAATATATATTATATATTAAAATCTCATATGTTATATTAAAATAATATAAATACTATATCTAATATTTATAATATAAAATTGTTATATACTATATACATACATAATACATAATATATAATATGTCATATGTCATGTGTCACATGACATAGGTCATATATCATATATATACATATATTCAAATACATATAAAATATCCACATATATTTTTTCAATTTTAATTGAATTTGTGGATTTCAGGAATTTTTAGCAGCTAAACCAGGGCCACCATAGCCAAGACAGCCAAGTCCCATTATACAGAACTACAATGAAAGACTGGATGAATCTGTGGTATTAAAAACTGCACTGGTGACTTACCACCTTTGGCTTGGGAATGTTTGTTTGGAAGAGTGAAAGATGCTTTACAGTAAAAAGAAAAAAAAATAGGAAGAGAAGAGATTAAAAAGATTTGCTCCAGAAGATGAACATTTCTTTCAGATTAACCTCTAAGAGAACTGTGTTTAATGATTTATATTCTGGGCTTACACCCACACTGGGGATTTGAGGGTGCCTCCCCTGCTAAGTAAAGATCTCTATAACTGACTATCACAGATACCCTGTGGAAAAGAGGAAATGCAAAACAGAGCATCTAGTGTTTATTTTAACTTATAAACAAAAGATGTTTTCTAGGCAAAAACCAAAAAAAATAGTTTTAATTTTTACTTGTTGGATTATTCACCCTTAAATTCCAATTCCAAATAAATTGTTTAGTCTTTAAAATATTAAGTCATTAACACTTGAAAAATACTAACTTTTACATAGAGAAATGTTAATTACATTCTATTTATCCCGGGGGGGGGGAACCCTCAATAAAGTACTATACAGACAAATCAGGTACACATAAGATTAGAACTTTTGATATTTTAAATGTTACTGAGTGATTTAAAATAAAAAGATAATATCATTCAGAGCATAGTACAAGTAATTACAGACTGTATGCAGGGAGAAACAATAGATTAAGAAACTAGATTGTCTGACAGTAGCTATTTTTCCTTCTCTGAAATTGAATAGCTGTGGGTTGAAATAAAGTACTATTTTGTGATTCAATGCATTTCAATTAAGATTAAAAACTTAGTCTTCTGTCAGTATTATAGTCATCCCAAAAATTAGAAGACAATAAGAAATACAAGACAATAAAAATTATTATCTTAAGTATTTAGTTTTTAAATTTCACATAATTTATGTGCTAAACTCTAGAAGGTATTCTTAAATATTTAATGCTAGCTGAAGGTTTTGAATAAGAACAGTATTATCAGAAAAAAGTGTTTGAAACTAATTTTAGAATGGGGTATACTCCATGAGATATTAGGCAAGATTCTACCTGGAGAGTAACTCTCTCAAGTTATTGAATCTGAACTTGCTTTGACTTATTAAGCACCACAATCTAAAGACATCTTTACCATTTGCACAGAGCTTTCACATACCTTAATTTCTATGACTAAGTTAGCAAGGTGTCCTCTCTATGATTGAGAAATTGATCTTTGGCATGGCTTTCAAGTCAAGTCAGTAAATAATTTAATTGAATTTGAAATCCTGTTGACCTTTGAGGCCAAACTAGTTTTACTAGAGTCAAAACTATTTGTTTTGATTTATGATATATTTCTACAACATTTTGGTCTAACATTAGTTGAAACCTGAAAAATACTCCAAGTTTGATTAAGTGTGTTCCTTTAGTTGGAGGTATTAGCATATGGTCTTGACGTATAAAGAACAGTTTTAAAAAGGCCGGCCTGATGAACTAGGAAGAACACTGAACAGAGAATCAGAAAAATCATGTTCTCATCCTTTCTCAGCCACTTGATAGTCATCTCCGTCCTTGGACAAAACACTCCATTGCTTTTGACCTCATATCTCATTCACATAGGTCTTACTGTCAGAATAGCACATGAGAGAAAATGTAGACAAATACTCTGAAATGAAAGACTTTATGCACTTAAGTTTCATTCATATTTTGCCTATTTTGCAGTTAATTCAGGAAGATGTTCTTGATGGAAATGACAAAAATGAAAAAGAAGAAGTAATAAAGAGAAAAATTCCTTACATTCTGAAACGCCAGCTGTATGAGAATAAACCCAGAAGGCCCTACATACTCAAAAGAGGTTCTTACTACTACTGAGAGGCTATGTGATTGTGACTTATCATTCTTTAATTAAATATCAAATTATCCTTGTGTGGAAATGTGTCAGAATACAATTATTTTGTCTGCTCTACAATTGTGGTTTATTGGATGTGATTTTTCTGCATTAATATAAATTGGATTAAATGTTTTCAAATAAATCTAGATCTTGAGCATGATGTGTTGTGTATAATTGGATTAGATATTAAGTCACATATAGAATGTTTTGTAATTTTGTAAAGCACTTAATGGGTTGTTTAAACAGTCAAAATGTTTGACATTTTAAACCAAATTGTAAGAGATTTTAACAGGGTCCTATGGCAAAGTCTAGCCTACATATCATTAGCCCCAAACAAAGTAATAGAACTTCTTTTATTATTTTGCTGAACATTTTTTTTTTAATTGAGAGAAATACATGCTCTTTTCTAGACTCACTCCTGAATCTCTCAGATATGGGAAGGTAGAAGTGAATAGGATAATCTTAAAAGAATAATTAATGAACTATTGCTAATTATGCCTATCTTAATGTATGATTTTCAACTGAATTTGTTTTTCTGTTAAATGAACTTAATGGTTAATAAAAAGATAATAAGCCATCAGAACCACATGTTTCTCCACAGATTGACTTATATTAGAAGAGTTACCCTTTATTGACTTTTCCCCCCTCACACTTGATTCAGTAAATGCTAGCTTTATTTTTAACTTCACTGAGGAATATGTGTGACTACTATATTTCCCAACTGGGAGGAAATTTTTGAGGCAAAAATAATACTTAAAAATAACACTTCAAATGTCCTTTTGATGGGATTACCCCCCCCCCCAGGCTAAACCCCTCTCAGTAGGATTTAAGAGAAGCCCATTGATCTCTGAGTTTTTCTGGTAAAACCATGCCTTCTCAACCCCCCCCCCCACATCTTTTACCATCTTATCAGCTTCAACATTAAAAAGTGCCCAAAGCAGTGATCCTAAGAAAGAAACTATATCATAGTGATTGATTATGAGTGCACACTCTGGGGTCACAATGCCTGGATTTAGCTCCACTATTCACTAATAACCTTAGTCAACTTATTTAACCTGTTTCCTCAGCATCCAAATATGGAAAATAATAGGGTTTGGAGGAGGATTAAATGGTCCGATATATATAAAATGTTTAAAATGGAACATATTAATAGCATAAATTTAGGAGTTCTTCTGACCACTTTCATACCAGTTTTCCTTTCTTCTTCAAAAACTACAGATCATGATGTAATTTCACATGATGTAAAAACACTAACCCTCTGTGTTTTGAACAACTACTCGTCTCCAATTACTTACTTCATTATCCTTGAAGATTCCTGCATACATGTGCAAGATTCATTCAGTAATCTTCCCTCTCAGTTCCTGACATCTTCACTTCCAATAATAAACATTTTATCCATTTCATCTCATCCAATCACTTTCATGGTCATGCCATAGAACTTTCAACTACCAGTGAATTAAACCTCTTTAAACATCATCTTTTCTTTCCAGTTAACATAACCTAGCACTCCTCCTCCAACATTTATTATCTTGTCTAATCCATTGTCCCCACCTCCTTTCACTCCTCATCTTCTACTCATGCCCTCACTTTGATCTTTACTTGGCCTAGATTCTATGGCCCAAAATTAAAATCACTCACTCGTGACCCTCAACTCACTGTCCTATATTATATGAGCCTATGAAAACACTGTTAAACTGAAATCTCCCCCTGATTTTGACTTCGCCTGAGAAGCTGAAATCGCTGGAGAAGAGCAACCAACCCTTGTTGAAGAATCCCACTTAAAACTGATCACACATCCCAAGTGTGTCCTTCATGCTGCCCAGAACTGTTACTACATTTGCCTCATCAATTTTTTCCTCTAATTCTCACTGGTGGTGGTTTTATACCTTCTCTTCTTTGAATTGCAACACTTGTCATTCTCCTCACTTTCATCAGATGACTTTCTAATGACTTCAGTAAAAATTAAGAGCAATAAGAAAATTATATCTTTTCTCTACTACCAAATGTAACACCCACCCTGCATTTACCCCTCACTCTTCCATTTCAATAGAGAAATTGTCTCTTCTCTTTTGAGGCTTACCCCTTCACTACCTCATCTCAGCAAATGGTCCTATATCTGCTCTGGCTGAAAACCTAGTTGTCATTCTTAACGCTTCTCTTTAACACACACCGGCCATTTCATCAGTTAAGAACTCTTGTTGGCTTTGCATTCAAAATACATCTCAAATCCATTTACGTCTGGCCAAATCCACCACTCCTGACCTAAGCTACAAGTTCTCCCCCTTGGACTATGGCAATTTCTTTCTAACTGCTCTACCTGTTATTGTTTTTATCCATCTACATTCACATAGCAGAATCCAGTTTTTAAAAATATTAATTAGATTATGCCACACTTCACTTCTCAAAATCTCACTATATCTTTCCATTGCACTTTGAATAAAACCCAAATTCTGTCTTAGAAGGCCTGAAACAATCTGGCATTTAGCCATTTCTCAATTTCATTTCACCCATTCTCCTCCAGTCAGATGGGCCTTCTTGTAATTCCTTTAATATGGGGCTTGTTCTTGCTTCATAGCCTTTAAGTTGCTGAAACCTCTTTTCTGGAAAGCTCTTCTGGCAAAAAATTATTTTTCCTGAGTATACAGGACATTCAGCTGGAGGCTACATTTCCAACCTCTCTTGTCACTAGGAATGACAAAGTTGGAGCTAATGGGATATTGAGTAGAAAAAACTGTGTACAGTGTGTGGCCCTTTTAAAACTTAAAGAGAAATTTAACTCCTCGAACTTTTACTTTCCTCCCATTTTTTGTCTTAAATTTGAATTTATTTTAAGCACACAAATGGATACCTTTCTCTTGAGGATGGTACTGATTGATGGAGCTTAAGGCTTTGAGCTACTTTGTGGAGCAAAGCTGCCTCACTGTCCTGGACCAATCATGCTGTCACTTGAAAGAGAAATGTATTTATAACTTATTTAAGATACTGTACTTTTCAGCCTTATTGATACAATACCTCAGCCATTATTTTAATAGTTACCATCTTCTCTAGGCCTTTTTATGGGTTATTTCTTCACATCATTCAGGTCTCTGTACATATATATATACAATGAGGACTTTTCTTAAGACCCTATCTTAAATAACATTTATCCCTGAGTTAAAATCTCCACTTAATTTGCTTTATTTTTCTTCATGTTTGAAAAAGAAAAGCAGCCGTTGACAGCCGTCACCTGGGAGCTGGCCTGGCACCATCTGCTAGCGTGTGGTGTTTTCCTGTAAACAAGACCACTCTGCAATCACGTCTGAGCAAAAACAAAATCAAGAGCACTGCAAACCACAACAATGAACAAACATCCTCCTTGTCCATATAATTGGAGTGACTGCTGCTTCTTTACTAACTACTGCTTTAACTCTGCTCTGTTTCTACCTCCTGGATAAAAACCACTGTAATACCTAATCCTAGAATTGCCCTCACTGTCTTAAAACACCCAAGCTAGAGCAGAACCACACTTCCTGGAATAGTCTCCAAATCATCTATTGCAAGCCCAGATTCTGTATGAGGCCTCTGCTTCTGCCCTGCTATTGAGAGGCCCCATGACTTCCCCCAGAATGAAATCTCCAGTACCAGTAAACCAACCTTGTGTGAGTGTGGTTCTGGTGGTCTTTGGCTGGTGGGCACTGGCATAGCACACAGCATAACTTGAAATTGCACAATCATTTATTTGTTTAATTGTTCATAGTTCATCCCCCACTCCCTCTCCCCACTAGAATGTGTAAGCTCTGTGCAGACAGATATTTTTGTCTTATTAATCGTATTCCCAAGGTTGAACACAAAGCCTGGAATGTGTCAGTAAGGATTTGTTTCAGGAATGAATAAACTAGCATCAGAATGTCTCTTTCTCTTATAATAAGAGGTACTAGACATACTTTCTACAGATTTTTAAGCCCCAACTCAGAGATTACATTTCACAAGGTTTGGTAAGAACTCAGGTATATAGAAGATATGCCTGGTTTTATGTGAAGGGACACAGAATCTGAGACGATGAAGCTCATCTTTACTAACAGAGGCAGCTTGAGGAGAGAGGAGATGATCCTTTCTTTTTTTTGTTTGTCTGTTTGTTTGTTTCTTAGATCCCTTGTGAGAATAAACAACAATGCCTAAGTGAAAATGGTACTAGTGGAAATAGGAAAAAAATAGATTTGTGACACATAAAAAGGAAGAACTAACATAAACTGGTCCTTCAACACAGGAGGAAAGAAGGAAGAAATATTCTAAGGTTTATTTTGAGATTTAAAGTCAAGAACCTTGTTTAGTATTCGTACTTTTTGAGATCCCCAGTCACTGCTAGGATCGTTTGAGTTTGAGGAGGCTTGGATTTATTGGGTCATCAGGAGAGTCATGATGTATTTTTCTATGCTTTTCAATGCAAAAATGCTTCATGACTTTCCCAACGACCCAATAAATCCAGCCTTGCTCTGGAGTTGATCAAGATGGTTATATACAAGGCTGCTGAACCTCTGCTCCCACAGATATCCTGGATTGTGCAACTGAATATGGAGCAATTCCCTCAGAAGGAAACCCGGACACCAGCTGAGCAACTCTCGCACATCAGGTGAATGAGAAAATATCCACAGTGAAACAGGTAGGAAAGGCTGAGACGCACTCTTGCCAGAAAATCCAGCCTGGTGCAATGCCGTACAATTGGAAGGGAATGCCCAACTCCCAGTGTTACCATGAGGAATAAATAATTTGGACCGCACATCTGGTGCCCCTACTTTTAAGACCCCCATCTGGAGGATAGGGCCCCCAAAACCCCTGACCTTGAAAGCCAACATGACTTGTTGTCCGTGAGACTCATGCTACTATGGTAAACAGAGAAGCAGCCCTTTTCTTACCAGGCTGAAAGCATTTTGACTCAGCTGTCACCCCAGGGCTCAGGATAGATAGCGTGGCCAAAATGCCCATCTCCCAATCTTTCCCTGAAAGGGGCCTGGTCTATCTGCATACTGTACAGCTACTACCTGAGCTCTGACTTTTAATTTTAGCACACATCTTGGGGCTGGTTAGATCCTTCTGAGAGGCCAGAGAGACTGGAGGGACACTTTCTCCACCTTCAACCTCTGGCCTGCTCCAACGATAAAACCAAGTAGCCACCATCCTCCTGGAAAGAGCACTGGTACATGTCTGGTGCCTCAGTTTTTGCTGCTGCCACCTGGGAACAGGTTCCTGGATCCCTGTCTCTGATGGCCAACAGGGTTTGCACTCCTGAGTCCCAAAGGGCGGGAGCCAACAAGCTTTTTCTAAAAGGCATGAGCAGGGTCATGGCTATTGCCCCAGGGATTAGAGTAGAAGGAACAGGCAAAAACACCCATTTCCCTGTCTTTCTCTGAAAGGGATCTGGCTGCATTCTGTATAAGCTATTGCCTGAGGGTACAAAAGCTAATTTTAGCACACATCTAAGGGATGGATGCATCTTTCTCAGAGACCAGGGAAGCTGATGGACTTTTCCCCAACTTCTCCTTCTGGCTCACAATAATAATAAAATTAACTTGTCAGTAGCTC